GAAATTGACGGTATTGCTGAGCAACACGCATCTTTTATTATGTGCGCTACCCCCCCCCGCAACTTCAGTTCAAGAAAGGAAATCAGACTTTACGCAGAATTACCGAATAATGTCGATTTTGTTCAGAGATGAAAAGGTGAAAGAGAAAACCCTGGAAAAGCATTTCTCGGCGGTATGTGCAACGCATTAAAAACGTCCTTCAAGCTGACCGTGTTTTTATGACTGTTTTGTCTCCTTTCAGTGAAATCCTGTTAATTTGCTGACGATTTTGAACGTGACGTACGCTTTTCAGGAACGCGAGCGCTGGGCTACCCGAAATCACCTGTCAGAGACCATTACGGAAATGCATAGATTTAACACATGCCGTTCGATTAAGGTACATCTGTGGGACCTCGCTCTGCATGTACGTCGGCAACTTCACGTGTGTTTTAGAGTCGAATCCTCGCCGCCGTTAACAGCAACAAGTGGTCGGAATTTTGCCACACAGGTACCGTTGAAGTGATCAATCCTGATTACTGTCTCGAAAACGAAAGTGTCGCTTCAAGTAAGCATTTCAGTTTTCAGCACATTTGCTTCCATGTCATTAAGCTCACGGATATGTCAATTTATGGCATGCACTAAAGGTCCTGTTCATGTTTCGCCACAAAGGTGTTTTAGGTGATTGCTAGATGCACTGAATTCGTCTAAGTTGAAAGTGATACTTCAACGTTTCATAAGATATATGTAAATATTTTATAAATTGTTGACGAATTATATTTCTACATTTAAAGAAATGGCTCTCTAAGCGCAATTAAACGGATTTGAAGACTTTGTGATGAACGGATTTGAAAGAAATGATCCATACAATGATTATTTGCAGACTCACTTTTAAAAACGCCGTCTTAATGAGAATAAGTTTTATGTAGAATTGAGTTACGAGTTACTTAATTGATTATCCATTTTCAGCTGAAGGCCGAATGCTTCTTCAAAATTACGTGATGAGCGTCTGATTTAATATGCTTTTTTCAGTTAAGGTTCTTTATGATATTTAATATGATTGTAGTGAAATCTTCAATGGTTAACATAAGGTAGTGCGATGCTCTTTTTGGAAGCTTCTGCTTGTGTTTTATGTAGTTCACCAGCGTTCTAACCAAGAAGTCACGACGCACTATCTTTATGTACATTTGTGCCTAAGTTTATATCCACCAGGAGCTCGCCAATTGCCAGCCCACTTTCAAGTACACGCGCCTCCTTCCTGGTCGTCTTTTCATAGAACCGACACCCAATACATGGAATGGGGACACTCATTAATTACTGACCGTGAACTCACAAACTGAGGTGGTGCATCTTTCCTGGACTTAAGTGACAAAGTTGTGCTTCTGGTCGTGATGGCGCCGTCACACCCTAAGCAGACCAAGTTTTCTGCTGAAGTTTGGAGTGGCAGTAGCGCCGCCACGCTCAGGCCAGATCGACATTCGAGATTTCACAACAGTATATAGTGGTAGCGTTTACTAGTAGTAATAGCGTGATGTATTATATTTAAAAACTGTTCAAAAATTTTAAGATGATAACTCATTCGTAGTGCATACAGTTGGGTCATAACGTGCCATGGAGCTGTTGTCTGTTTAAGCGGCCCCTGGATTTCTATCAGATAGACGTTGTAGCAGTAACGCCACGGAAAGTGGTTGAATTATGCTAGCTAACTTATTTCCGGTCTTTAAACCAAGTTTTAGACGTTGTTGCAACAGCAAATTAGGAGTACCAACTTCTGGAACGTCTTTTGTTACCCGCAGCACGTTGTTTTGGCCGTTAAGAATGTCAGATGCATCAATGTACTGCAGCTTTTAAAATTCAAAGGAGATTATAAAACCGCTTAGATGACATAAACTCTGTCTAGTCCTGTCAGAAAAAACTGTGCATTGCGATGGCGTGACATTAATCGGCGGAATTATGCGTAAATACATGGTGAAATGCAGGAGATACATCGTAGCTGTGACTGTCAGAAATCATAGTTTCGCCGGGCATCGTAAGAGCAACATCCGTTGTGAGAAAAGAAGTATGCAAAAAGTCGTTCATATGAAAAAAATTGTTTTCGAGAGTTTGTGCAGTAGAGAAGGACGAAACACTGTTAAAACGGTATATTAGCATGGCATGGAGCATAGCAAACATAGAATAATAACCATGTACCTTAGAATATGTTAATAAATTGTTTCAACGCCGTTTTGTCTCTGAAAACAAGTTTGCGAACAAACTTCTTCATCTTTCAATATGTAGGTCGGTAGAACTCTGAATTTATGCTATGTATATTACGTACGTGAGAACGCCTTTCAGATAACGGAGTGCGACAAAGTGATTTAGGACTTGTTTATCGCTAGTCTCGTGTCGTACTTTATATGGGCTTCTAAACGTATCTTTCAAAAAATAGTAGCTATGTTAGTCATATAAAGCGAGGTCAGTACTGGCAGAAGAACCGTGTCCAAAATCGTGAGATGTTTAAGTGTATTGAAAACTGTCGCATGTCTTGTCATTCTTTTATGCCTAAAAGTTGGGACGATGTCGAGCTTTCCGAAGCGGATTCTTGTCTGCTGGTTTCTGTGTTTTTTCTGTCTTCCGTGCCCTGCTTATTTATATTGTCATTTGTAGCATATTGTGCAAGCGGCTCGTTTCTGTGACTGAGCAGCCTCAAGTTAACATATTTAATATGGCTTGTTCAGCATCGTCGTCGTCTTTATTTCATAGACCTTTGCACTTGTAACATCGCTGATCTATTCTTCATTGAATGGTTCTTCATTTGGCTGAAGCGATGATCAAAGATCACCACTGTTCTCACAAAATATTACGGTTTCCTCTTGTTCCTCTTCACACCTTACGGTTAGGTATGTTCTTGTAGTAGCTGTTCGAGAATGCCCCTCACGACCTCCGTACATTTTCGACAGAATTTTTGACCATTTCAGTTCCTTCACGCGGCAGTTTGGCAACTTTTCGTCTGTGATAGTTGCATGTTAATGACGTGTTATTTGCCCGTTTCTTAATAACATGTTGAATATTTGATTTGTTTGCTTAATTCTAGACGCCGTCAGACAGCTGCTGAATTCATTCGAAGAAATTGATACCATCTGCCACCGAGACCCGGGTGTGACTCTGCACGAGAGGTTCGAGAACGAGAAATTATGTGAATATCTTGAGGTAAGTTTATGGAGGCGTTGTTTTGTTGAACGTGCATCTCATATTGTTGTAATGTATTTCGATTATGTTCTGAACGACACGTTGAAGTTTAACAAAAATGTCATAAGGTAAGATAGTTTAGTTATTGAACTTTGATCAGATTTACAACGTGTTTCTGTTTTTGTTGTTATGACCACGACTGTTAAAACTCTGCTTCTCTCTTTAACAAGGGACATGTGGAGGAGCCACCTCAACACATTTGTTATCCTTACGTGTTGCGGAAAACGCCCGTTATTAATATGGACAGTAGGGTAGCAGTCTATGGGTATAACGGTGCACAAGGCTGACAAGAGATAAACGGGCCGAGATACGTTGGCACGCGTTTTTTAATCATATTCTTGCTCAGCAGTCGTAACTGATCAACAGCATCATTATTTACTGTAGTGAACTATTTTATGATTACATAGTACACTATGCAGAAACTATCCAAAACAGCAGCACAATAGTAGTACTCATCTGTGACTTCCGACAATCATCTTCAACACGGCAGATCCTGAACAAATTATTGCCTGAATTTTCTAGACACGGACAGGGTTTGAACTATATTCTAATCCAGTAGCAGCCTATTTCCCATTCATCCAATCATTAACCTCGTTCGCATTCTGGTATCCTTTCGGTCTGCTGCTATAGCAGGTTCATGGCGTTTTTTCAGTGGTGCAGATTATATTCCAATTTCGCGAGCGTTATGTACTGCATTCCAAAGAGTGGCAAACTGACGACTTTTTGAACGTGCATTTCAATTACTGATACCGGATTAACACGGCAACAACGCACCGCCCTCGTGCTTCTAGTCGTCTCTTTGCCGCACCACGACTCCATGGTATTGAAGCGCCTGCGCTCCTTGACGCCTATATGACCGCATCTCTGAGTTGGTCTGAACAGAGGCGTGTTAGAGTACAAATGAAATTTATCACGATATGTTGACAAATATATAGGCAAAATGAGGTAAACTGTAACTCCAGTGTTCTGAGTTAGCTATCACGAATGTCAACTTTTTACTTTCTCCGTAAATATTGTATTTCAGTTAATTGATATCAGATTATTCGCCATGAAAACTCAGCGTACCAGTTTGGGCAGCATTTATGCGGAATTTCTGAGGACTTGACCAGCCAAACGGCGTAAAGTATTTTTTGCCGTCACTCCCTGATGTGATCCATTTGGTATTGCTCTTCTATTCGTTATTGGTTATATACGTCTGGTATACGTCTGGTTCCTCCGTTTCTTTGCCCATGAGTTCCTATTCTCAGTTTAGATATTAGAGGATACGAGCAAAGAGTCAACCGTGCTGTCTTAATAATGCGGTAAAGCGCTGTTGATTCAGATTTCAAGGGACCGGAAAAATTCGAATTACATAAACATAATTCGAAATTTGCGGAAAAAGCTTAACTCTGTATTAAATAAAAATGCAAGTATGAAATAAATGGAACATCATGAAGGCTATTGATAAACTGCAGACTGTTTAACGCGTGGGTAAGAAAACAAACCGGAGTCTGCGATGTTATTGCACGAATGAGGAAGTTGAAATGGCAATGAGCAGCGCATTTACCATTTAGCGTCATTATACCAATGGAATATTGGATTTGGTTTCAAGAGAAAATAAACGGTTCTCAGGAAGATCGATATCGATGGCAGAATGAGCTCAGGAATTTCGCTGGATCAAGATGCATGAAAATGACTAGATACATAAGATCTTGAAAATGGCGGTAGAAAGTCTTAAAGGGTCCTTCATCCAGTAATGAAGCGAAGAGGCTTCTGGTGATAAATGTAAAATGCGAAAATTGGACTTGTAATGTTATGCTGAATCAAATTCCGGTAGATTTGTATTCAGAACTGAATATAGTTAACTTTTCTTATCGAATGAATGGTAAAAATGCTAGCGCTGTGGCACAGCGATAACAGATCGATTTCGAACTCTGAAAGTGTGCCATGTTCGAATCCTTAAAGAAAACATTTGTCGTGACCGCAAATTCCCTTGAGCAAGGAATTCACTCATTCACTTTGCTGCTGTGCAACCAGCCAAGAAGCGGGTAGCGACTCGTTGACTTGCGAACATCTGAACTGCATGGTATGCTGGTGTTGTCATATTAGAATTATCGGGATCTACGGCTATGCCGTCTGATTTGAGCGCCTGTTCGGGTTGCAGTTCGCCTTGACCCACCTGACAGATGACTATCCCTTTTATTAATCAGTTTAAAGTGTAGTCACTGTTGTTGTTATCAGCTATGTACTTAGATCTTTCTAAGATCCTCCAACCACCCACTTCATGTCTCCAAATCCTGTTCACTAACTATCGGCTTGGCGATCATGTACAAGATAACCACTTGTTTTTTGAAGGGTAGTCAGATAGTTGGCCTTCGAGTTCTTCCTTTTATACAGTTCATATTCGCCTTTTGAGTAATCCCGTTCTTACCGCTTAAGTTGCAAGAAATCGACGAGTGTGAAATGTTGCATGTTACTTCCAGCGGACCTTTTGACCCAGCTTTCTTCTTTCTTTCTACGTCATGCAGAAACGACTTTTTTGGCGACGGTGAAACATTTGCGTCGTCCTTACGGGAAGCTTATTTAACTAAATTAAGAATTATTTTATGAGAAACGATGTTTCATGGAAACTTAGCTGAACGAGAAATTACTTATAACAATATAATAATTCCTGAAGGGAACAGCCTAGGTGCTTCTCAGTGATGCATTCGCTCGCACGGCAGATCGCTGAGGTGTCCAAAATCCAGTATAGCCCAGGTTCAGGTTGTTTTGCACTGTGTAAGATAGAAATTAGCTCTGTCTCTGATGATAGTAAGTCTACCTTCTGAAAGTATAACGCATGAAGCAGTCACGAAAATCTAGTGAACACTAGATAATGCTTGAACGAAAATAGACGAAATGCATACTTTTGTAAACATTATTTTTATAAGCTATATTTTGAATTATGTCATAACAAAATGATTAATATTATGAGCAGGACAGTCTTTTTCGAACTGTGCATTAGTAAGGTTACGTTTTGTCTAGAACATTTGCAACAGATGTTTACTCTGTCTTAAAGTAAAATTCTACCGAAATTTCGATTTACGCACATTCCTTGGATTAAGAATGTATACGGCCGAGTTACATACCGGTACGACTGTCCTGGTTTGCAGCCAGAGTGTTTATGTCAGAGCGTTTGTTCGTACCTGCCTGACTTGCGTTCGCTCGGACATCGTGACAGGTGCTGCTGACAAGATCACCCCACTAACGTTGAAGCTGTGGTTGACCGTGTTGTGCCACTTTTTGAAAGAAACATTTTGTTGTTGTTTACGCCAGTTGCTGATATCTTAAAATTGGAATTGCGCACATTTTTTTCAGTGCTAAACAAAGCAGCAAATACACAAGAGCTTGAAATTTACCACCGATGATCTGAGCACTTTTTAAATGTCTGCAACACGTTATCTTACCGGTTATGCACCAGGCTTTAACCGACATGCTTGAGCCGTATCAATTCGCCTACCATCGAAGAACGAGTACCGGTTATGCATCGTCTGCCTAACGGATAAACTTAAGCAAGGTAATTATTCATCGGCCTTAGTTCCGATTTTAACGTTGTTCCGTATTACCAAGTGCTCTGAAAGCTAGGCACGCTAATTATCGATCGTCCATTCATTAACGGTTAGCTAACTCCTTGTTTCACCGCCGTTAGGTAAGGTTGACAGTAAGAAGTTTTGTCCGTTACAGGACAGTCTCATCATAGTTCATTGCTCCGTTTTCTCTACAACGTATTCATGAATAATTTTTTCACATCAGTGAAACTGCCGGACGGTTTGGAAAAATACAAAAATGGCATCATGAGCAGCTGCCAGTGCTTCTTCGCAAATGACTTTCTTTTGAATGCATCCTAAACTGGATGACGCGAAATACGCAGTATTCAGCACTCTTTCATCTCGTGCCTTACCCCTTACTGGTCAATAACAGTTTAGTCACCTCATTTCAAGCTGTTAGATATTTAGGTGCCATTTTATCGTCTGACCATGCCTGGAACGCACTCGTACGACCTCTTGCAACCAGTTGTTGTACGGCTTCATTTGATTCAAAGCATCTTAGATGCCTTCAAGCACCACACGATGTCATATAAAACTGTCTTTGCATATATTCTGTCTGCTTTCCGGCCTTGCTGACATGCGATTTTATGGCTAAACGTTGTCATTGAGAAAAGCCTCTTGAATCAGTAACCTTTCGTACAATGATCCATTGCGGCACGTCTTTGGTTTAGAGTTCTCATGCCACTTGCATGGATGGCAATAGTCATCCATTTCATGACAGACTCTCGCAATGTCAGTCGCGAATCTTTTCAGTTAGATTTGGTTATGCCAGTGTTTTTGGCCGGAATGGAACCTTATCGAAGATCCATAATCCTTGCCTCATTGCGCGTTCTATGAAGTCCCGCTGGCATTAAATAACAATACATGAATTTGCTCATTGTGACCTGGCTTTCATTCTGTTTGTTTCTGTTACCTTTGGTTCGTGCTTCTCTACTGGTGTCACTGGTGGTTCATTTGTTCCTGATTCTTTTTGTTAGCTCTAAGCGTGCAAGTGTAACCAATTTTGTGACACGTCGATTTCATGTTTTTTCATTTCTGTTTTCTTCTGCAGAAAAACTGAAATTCTCTGGCGATCCGGTTCAAGTAGTAAACTTTCATTCATTCACTCATTCATTCGTCTCAGACAGAACTGCTTCGATGGGTATGAAGAGAGTGTCTGTCTCCCGGTTATCCTAATTTCGTTAGTCTATTGTTTCGGAGCTGAAAACACGATTATTATAATCATAGTGGCTCACGAGTGTAAATTGCACCGTATCTCGTCGTGTTGTCCAATTTCATACTTTGTTCTTCGGCGCTGTAGGTTTTAAGCTTCTGCTACATGTAATGCACAGACGACGGTTTTAGTTGTTTCTCCGTCACGACCTCAGTGACGACTGTTGCGAGGAATTGAATTTTTTTTGGACGAACAAACGCGGTTCAAGAAAAAGCTTTACGCTCACCAGGAAAAACGTTCGACAGCTGGCAAACTTTTCATACGTCTTTTCAGTTGCTGCCTCAGGTTGATTTTCAAGTTCACTCTTTGTTCTACACCACTGCTTTCCTTCTGAACGGCTGTTCCACCGTCTCATTGGCTTCGGCGCTTCTTCCGGCATCGTTTGCCGTTAACTGATGGCGGAACATCACCACGGCTGAAATAGTTGACTAGGCGAACCGCGACGGTCTCGTTTGGCATAGATGATGGACCTGACAACAGGAGCATATTGTAAAATGCTTGTAACTGTGCGTTTCTCTTGTTATTTTGTTTATCCGGCGTCGTCGTTGTTGAGAGAGACGCACAGATAAACACATTAATAGATGAACTGACTATTCTACCGTAGTTGAAAAGTTCATTTTGTTTATTCTTTCATTTTCATGGCCGATTATTCTGACGGCGACAGCTTCACGATGCTTTTCCTTTCGTCCGAGCCCTCTTCCAATCGAGGCAACTCCACGGTCAGGCCTGCTGATGAGAAGATGCCATACGTTTAATGTACCTCAATACCGCCCTTGTCCGCCTGCAGGCGGCTTTGTGAAATGGGTTCATCTGACTCGTTTTATGTTCGAAATGCTGCCCACGTACTCCAGCCATTGCCACCTGCTGATTTACGAAAAAGCGGCAGCAGGCTTGGGAAACTGAATCTGCCCTGTTCTGAACGTTTTCGACCCTCATCGCTTAAACAGCCATCCAAAGTAACCATATGTGACCCATATGTATGCACGACCGCATTCATTCTATAAGTGTTTAGTACTCATGGCGGCATTTAAGGTTTGATGCGTAGATAAACATAAGCATATTTATCTTCACATTTATGCTCGGCCTTTAAATTACCTTACGGATTGGTTTGCTCCTGCATTACGGCATATTACAGGCCAGGGATTGCTCAGTCGGTGGAGTGTGAGACTCAGAACGAGAGGTCGCGGGTTCTAATCCCGGTCACATCACTCGCTTTTCTTCGTTCTGACGTTGATAATGGAGTACCATTCTGTGAAAGGGAAACCGACGACTTCGCCCTATGTTTGCAGCAAAATAAGGCGCTCCTGGCTGATGACATGAAAGTAGAGTTCAGTGCCTCTCTAGTAACCTCGTGAAAAGAACGGAGCCAGAAATGGTCCTCAATCATGAAAGTGTAAGGAGGAACGACATTCCAATGGATATAGATATTGCCTTCCTTTTTCCTTCCTTACTGTGCTCACTAGACCGACTTTTGCATCTGCTTCGAGCTCGTTTTGTGCACGTAACATCTTTCTAGCATGTATTCCATGCATGTAGTTTAAGCACTCATCTAATATGAGTCGAACTTAATGGCATCCTCTACTGCCTCCTCGCTTTTAAATGATCCGGCACTCTCAAGCCGCAGCTGGTTGAAATTGCACTCGATACTGCTGCGAGCATGAATATAATGAAGTCAGGTTTTGGATGAGTTAAAC